CATAAACGCAATCGTATAGATTTGTTATCATTTAATTCGTAAGTTTTTACAGATTGCATTCCGGGATTGAAGAGATAAGTCTATGGTTTTGTCTGTTTGTTTGGCTGGGTGTTAAGTCATACCGACACAGTATAGGTCATTTTGGTGACGTTCCAGCTTTACTGATGGAGGAAGACCTCAGGTGCCCCTCCTTGCATTATTTCAGGCACCTGAGTAGAATCACCGACGTTTCGTAAGTTAGCTAGATAGCTTCATCACATGAAAGAATCTTAAGTCCCTGTCGGGCTTCGAACCCACAGCGGTAAGTGATCTGAGGTCAACGACCTTAACCACTCGGCCACGGAAACCCCTATAAGTCTATGGTTATTTCAGATAGAGGAATACGGAATCCTTAAAGAACGCACGAAACGAAAAAGTTGTAAATGTTACAGGCTCGGTTTGATTGAGCCTGTTAATCATCAAACTCGGCATATGGATTATTGTATAATTTATTAATTGACTAAAAGTTTTATTTTTTGTGTTTGTATTATATATGTCTTTGACGCAGTACATATTTTTATTTCTCTACTGTTTGAAATAGAGACGACTGTTGTAATTTTGACAAAGTTTTTGTTCTAATATATTTTGCGGGTTTTAATTTACACTGATTTCAATCCAAACATTGTAAGTATACATTTGATTTTTGTTAAGCTCAAACACATATTTATATTAGTTCGATAGCGAAACAATTTTACGCAACTTATATTTATCACTTTAGAGTCCTCTCCCTGGTATCAAGTGTAGCAGTGTCCTATGACTAAACATGGACGTGACCCGAGTAGGGCTCGAACCAATGATCCCTGGCTTGAGAGACAGACACCATAGCTTCTAGGCCACCGCTCTCCGTTTCAGTTTTTAAAATTAAATTTCAATATTTCTCATTTGTTTTAAATTGCATTAAATGAAGACATTCCAGCTAATTGCTTTATCTATTTCTATTTCATTTCTTTCCCCCACCAAATGATTTGAATTGCTTACTATTCTTTAAGTCAAGTTCAACGTTCAAGAATGCAAAAATAAAGGAATGTCAATTATTATAAGACACCCGTTTTTGTACCTTTGTATTTTTAAATTCCGTTGGACATTTTCCTTTTTTGAGCTCCATATAAATTCATAGCACCGTTGTTTTATTGTTTTTGCAATCTAAAACTTTTTATTCTCATTATAATTTCATTGATGTTTTATAAGGAAAATATTCTAGTTCTGATTTTCTTTCAATTTTATTTTTTATCAAATTTGTAATCTTTTTAAATTTCCTTCTTTCTTTTCTCGAATTCTCTCATTTTCTTTATATATTTTGAAAATCTTATCATTTCATTTCGAACTGTATGTTAAAATCGACATTTGACAAGTGTTTGTGTCTGTATTAAAAATGTATTTCAGGTATGGACTGTTTAATTTTGTCTTTCATTTCTGTATTAAAAGTAAACTGTAATTTAGTTAAAAACATCCGCGCGTTTTGATATAGGATCGAAATCTAAATTAAAGTAGGCTATTGGAGATCAGATTTAAAGCTAGGTTACGTAAATAATGATAAGGAAGAAAAGATGCTATCATATTTCGAATCAATATTAAGTCCTTCTACTCTGTTTTATTTTGTGGTATTTTTTTTTTATATTGAGAAAATATACTTTTGATATACCTATTTGTTGATTGCATTCTTATATAACAGAAGAAACAAACTCAGTCACTACCACTAAATGCCAATATTAATTTAAAATCAAATCAATTAATCCCGACAAACAATAAATGTACATTTGAAGAAGAATCCCCAAAAGAACGACGACATTTGAACATTTTTTTTCTGTCATTTATCGATTACAAATGATGTTTCAAAAAATGTAGGCTTTATGTTTCTTTTCTAAAAAAGATACTTTTCAGTACACCCTTGTAATGCCTTTCCCTTCTGTAGACGAAAATGATTGGGAGAAGAGAAACAGCAAAAAAAGAATATATTGTATAAACGACTTAACATTCCACACTGAACACAAATTCTTTGGTAATGTTCAACAAGATAAAATAAACAAACAATCAAATACTATCATGCAATTCATAATTATAAAATGTTGATGTGTATATTCTCGCACTCTTAAAGACATATCAGTTAGTATAATTCGTTGGTTGCCTATGCTTATGGAGGGTCCAACCGCCTTTACAGCCACTGAGAGTACGGACCCGGGCATAAGTAGTATTTATTGTCAAAAAGTGGTGACCTAATTGACTTGATCTTATTTTTTCACGGATTGTTTTGCAAATAATGAGGTAGCAGTTTTCATATGTCTACAAAAACAATGCACGGGAGGCAAATGAGAACATAATATACATTATATTCCTGTAAAATGGGCGTTGATGCCAAAATAAGCAGACAGTAACCATACGGACAGACTCATCGAGACGCAAGTGTGCTTCGAAATTGCGCCTTAAACATGTGTGTCGGACAAACAAGTTCACCCTTTCCGGTTTTCGTATTCAGGTGATAAAATCTTACTTCTTGTATTTTTGCAATGTCCATTGTTTAAATAATTTGATACAATTATAACAACCTGGTTATGCTATGTTCTATAGATGTTCTGGTCTGATCAATATCTCTTTTTCTAGTTTTGTCGCACTCTTTTATTTTTTTTTGCCGTAAAATGAAATTTGACATCATATATATTTATATATATATATATATAAATTATATATATAATCATCATAAAGAATATAAAATGTTTATGAAAACAACATTCGTGTCAAAAGTTATGTGTAACAATTTCAGTTATTATAATGTTACTAAATTCTATTTTATTTGAAACAGCATTGAAACATAAAAGATACTTAAAATGCACAATGTTAATTAAAGAGAACTATGCCAGCCCTTAAACTCATTAAAAACGTCAAATGTTAAATAGAAAACTTCTATAATTTTTTAAAACTCCTGTTTAAACATTTCTTTTGTCTGGTGTTAGACATGTATATGCATGTTTTTTTCTTTTAGATTTAATGTGTTGGCATTTAATGTTTGTTTTAACATATTTTGTAATAATGTAATAATATAATGGAGGTTCTTTTTTCTCTTTCTTTTTATTTTAGTTCATATTCGCATTCGTATAATAAAAGATGCTTTATCTGCTTTAAAGCAATAATCTTTCAAAGAAAATGATTTAATAATCAAATTGTGATTTTGTCACATGGACAAGGTCTGCATCATCAAAGTACCAACAATTATCGGTATGCGGGAGTCTCATTTTCAAAATTGTTTACGGCTGGGTAAATAGCATAAAATTTCGTATGATATTCTATCAAAACTGACTACGAACTTATTCAGATGTAACCGCCCATTTTTTTTAAAAATAGGCTTTGTAAAGCCCGAGTTGAGGAAAATTAACACAATGTCGAGAAAAAAAAAAAAAAAAAAGGAAAAGAATGACATAATCTTTTATATATTGTATTCTGGTATTTGCATCGGAAAAAGAACTAAGGCAGACAATCATTTAATTCAACTTACTTATTATTGTTCGTAAGGTTAACGTTAACGACAGGTACTCTAAAGTATCAGATGCATCTTCAGAATGTCATGTAGAAAGTTGCGCAATTGGTTTGTTTTCAGTTCCGCTTTTGGTTCGTTGAAAAATGTAAGTTTCTTATTAAAGTGGCATTATTTGTTTCACTGTTAAGCGAAGATAAATTAGTTATATATTTCAACATATTTTATTTCTCAGAAAATACATACATGCTACAACTTACAATAAACAGAGAGCAATTCAAATATTCTTAGAAAACAGGATTAGAATGAAAGACAACGTGTCTTATGAAATTCTTCTCACTATCTCAATTGAGATTGAACAATAATTGAGACCTATAAATGTAAAGGAAAAAATAAAAACTTGCCTAAATTTTATAAAAGACTGCTCCATTTTTTTTTTATAAATGGAACGCTTCTGATTATTTACAAAGAATATTTATATAATTGAATGTGCCAAAGTTTTTGGTTATTGATTACTTTGGTGACGTTTATTATGAAATTCAAAATAAATATGAAAAAATATATAGCTATCTTAATTCAACCTGAACATTTACAATTAAGTCTTGAATTAATATCACTTTAATACACGATTAAGTACGTAATTAACTATATAAAATTGCAAGTTTTATTTACGTTGATTGGGTGCTTCGGTTTAAGAACTTATTTCCAGCATAAGTACTAGAATAAATACGAGAAAATGGTAGTAAGCTCAATTTATCGTATTTAAACCTTACCTCAGTATATACCGATTTGTCCGATCACGTCTTAACAAAAAATTATTATTATTTATAAGTTTATATATATCTTTTAAAGTTCGATCATGTTTATATCTTTAAGCTTATTAAAACACACTCGAATCCGTTTCTTAAACCAACTAGTTCTCAGCAAGTTTCTTCTTCCTTATGGAAACAACGGCTTGCCCCTGACGGGGTTTGAACCAACTCGGACAGCAATCCTTAGATACCTAGTCCGACGCGTTAACCACTCGTCCAAACTGACACTCGATTTATAACTATATACCACTAAGTCCATATTATTTTTAATCCAAACATATTTGTAACATATATGATGCCAATAAATTAATGCTATGATTAAAGACGAACTCAATATATCGACATTTAATTACAAGCTGAGAATTCGAATTCAAAATTATTGTGAAAAAAAAAACAAAACACTTTTTTGCCTCAATTGAATGGTATTGATAATCAGATATGGTTTAAGTTGATAAAAAATGCAATTGATGCATTCTGTATATCATTCCATTTTTTGTCGTCTTTGGCCATAACAGAAAACCCTTTTTTGTTTCAAATTATGCTACATACATTGTAAAAGTAAATTGTACACCCTATCATAATTCTTCTGAAATGTAAGTAAATAACTATACATGATCAGAATTTAATTTTGTAAATTAAAGTAAATCTCGTATTAAAGGGCATATAACTAGAAATTTTCTTACCCTTTCGCTAAAATCTTCATGTCTGTAAGGAATTTCAAGAAGTGGATTTTTGGCAATCGGCACAGAAATATCTATAAAACAAAAAAAACAGCTTACAAATGATATTAATGAGATTTATTTCAGAATGTTTATACGAGTATGTTTTTTATAAAGCATGTTTTCAGATCTAAAAAAAAGAAAGCTTGAAGACTTTTCCCATATCAGTACTAGTTAACGGCAAACAAAAGATACTGTCAATTGTTTGACTAGAGACCAGCAAGAAAATAGCTTCCAATTAATTGCATTTTCTTTCATCAATGAAGGAAACAATCATTTTCTTTTTTTTGTTATTATAATATTCGGAAATCAAATTTAAATCAGTTTTTGTGAAGACAATGTTAAATATCAAAGCGTGAAACTTGAATAAAACACTTTAAAAAGAAGAGAATTCTTAGTCTGCATTCAAAGTTTATTTTAAAGGAGTAAATTGTTTTGTTCTAAAACAATGCATGTACCTAGTAAAATTTTCAGTTTATTGTGTTTTTTAAAACATGAAATATAAAAGGGGGCTTCAACTCATAAACATAAGAGTTTTTATGTATAGACAAGTTAGGATTTGTGCGTGATGGATGCTTTTAATTATTCGAGTAATCTTATACATTGAATAGAAGAATATTAGATAAAAGGTGATTTTTATATGTTTTGACAATGATCTCATAATGAAGGACTATGTCTCTTTATCCGCAAAAATGGTAGTACTCCTTTGTCACAATGAGGCACTATGAAACAGATTTTATGCTTACTGTATCATTGTTTTGGATGTCTTGTTTTGATCAGCCGATCATATTGGAAGAACTTAGAAGCAATGTATTAAATAAATTTACCATCTCTGTATAATCAAGTCTGCAATGTTTGTTAATCCTAAATTTAACTTTTTTTTACATTTGTAAGGAAATATAGGTATCGTTTATTTTCAAAGGTAAGTTTAAACATATTCATTGTATTATATATATAATCTAACTGCATATAACAAACCTTTAACAACCACACTAATACACGCAATGGATTTTGGCGGAAGCACTAGGTGGTGATTATTAAAGTCAATCTCCATAATTGATAAGTTAAATAAAAGTAATACATGGCTTGCAATGTGCATATTATCATATTAAAAAGTGTCTACCAAAACCGCATCTTTTGATTAAATATCAAAAACACAAATCTAGTTGCTTATTCTATTTTTTTGTTAAGATTCTTAAAATATTAGTAATTAATACAAATTAGTATATATTTACAGAAAAAATAACTAAATACAGAAAAAAATAACTTAAAAGAAAGAATAAAGATGAGAAGAAAGAATAAGATGACACCAACACTGAGAGTTTCGATAACAAATCATATTTTGTGGCACCTAGACAGTTTAATTTGTTTAGTATGTACCAATGATTAAGTATATCGTAAATTTTACTTTACGACATTTAATTGTAAAGCAGTCTCCTACTATCCATTATGTATTAATGAACCGTCAGAAAGAAAACTTCGTTATCAGACTGAGAAAAAGAAGCATTCCCGAACAGGAAAGTATTGAGAGAGACATATTGAGTGATTCGACGCACTTTTGTGCGAAGGTTTATACCATGGTAACTATAGAAGTGGCATTGGAGAAAATAATGATAATTTGTTTTCAGGTTTTCAACATTGGCAAATGGTCGATTGGCCAAACTTTGAATGAAAAGGTAATTATTCAGTTTGCTTCAATTAATGGAAACCCTTGCATGTAATTATGTGCTATTTGTGATCCGGTGTGAAAATAAGTGGGCATACTATTTTGGACAGACATAAGCTTTTAAAGTAGGTGCATTTCTTACGTCTGTTGTTAGGTCGTTCAAATCACGAACTGTCATGGGTAAGATGGTTTGTTCAGGATTTCACGGTTCTCAACTGGACCGGATATCGAAATTTGTACGAAGACGTTGATCCAATATTTGGGGGAACAATATTTGTTATGTATTCTGGTGCAAGAACATTTTTCATTATTTGGAACATTATCAACCTTTGAACTCTTCGTCAATACTCTAGCGATTCAACTCCTGTTAGAGTTATCGAGAGAGACCAGCTTGTTTGATCCCGATACAATACAATACAAGCACATTCGTTTTTAAATCTTGTCAAGCAAGTCAAGCATGTCCTTTTAACAAAGGAGCAATTATTTCAAATATCATCAGCATATTCTAAAATTGGTCGAACGAAGGAGGTTTATATAACTTCAAGAGATTTCTTTTCAAAAGTCCATGCTTTATTTACGATATAGTTAATATGTTCATGCAGAGAGCGGTTATTTGAAAGAACGATATTATTATTTTCACACTTAACACTCAAAAAATATGGCCCGCGGACAATATGCTAAGACATGATATCGAATCTTGGGGAAATTTAAACCTTTTTAACAAATATTAGAACTACATGTACATGTAATGTATAAAGGCGTTTTGTGTTTATTTACTAAAAGTATAAAATCAGCAAATGTAATTTTCATAAGGTTATGTGTTTTAAAATCTACATAACAAATTAAAAAAGTAACAATACTGTAGGTAGATAAAGCATATGTGTCATTTTTATTTACATGGTTTTTAGATCATAATATCACATTATACCACTACAGTATTAATGTACCATTTCAATAAACGGGAAACTTATATCGTATAAAAAATATTGTATTTGCTAATAACTTTTCCGTTTTCTTTTATTTTTCATACGACATTTGTGTTACATACATTTTAATATAATCGTATTACATACATGATATCGAGGTATCAAAGCTCAATCTCTAATCATGTCTGTGTGACCGCTGTCATTCAATGTATGCCTTTGTAATATGTTTAGCACAACAACAATTTGGTGATTGAAAGAATGTTAATCACAGGTGTTCAGTACCGATAATTAAATTACCAATGACATCTAACTGATGTTTAGTGGGCACATGTATTCACAGAATTGAGATAATGTGATTAAGAGGAACATGTATTGACTGTAAGGTATTAAATAATTTCATAACTTTATAGCTAATATTGCTTTTGAAGCTTTATATGGCACTAGTTCCCTAAAAAATTGGAAAAATGCGTATATGAAATGTGAGATGTAATTAAATTTAGAAATTAATTTTTTACGTTACAAATTATATAAGAAAAAGATGAGATTATATCATTTTGTCAATATAACAACAATTCTGCAAATCATAATGTACATTGTAGTTGTAAAATATAGTACATGTAATTCTCGAAAAACGTTTATCCCATTACCCGATATACATGCCTTTTTCACCCCCTTTTTTGTCTCAAATAGTGAAAAATGCCTTATTTAGGCCCCAAACACTTGTTTTTGTTTGAGAAATGTTGTTTAAAAAGTGACTACTTTTTCGGCGCGGCCCAAAACCAAAAGATACATTAGGGGATTGCTTGATGGGGGATTTTTCTCTTTAGAAAGGGGACGGCAGTCCCCCTAATCGTCAAGAAAATTTTGGACTTTTGAGAGGCTAAAAATGATCCCAGATCAATTATAAGGTAACGTGTAACCAACGCTGAAAAGAATTTGACTATATCTCAATCCATTGATGAGTTGCAGCACTTTGAAATCGATTTCGATCAACGCAAAATAGTGACTTTTGGCAATTTTGAGATGTCCCCTCGTTGCCATGGTAACAGGAAATTTAAGCCTGGGCATGTTGTTACAAAGGCAATGGTCCAGTCAACATTTGTGCCAAGTTTGATTAGTATTGAAGAACTTTTTGTAGTTTTATAGCAATTTGAACTTGTAACGGGAGACTTTTCAATGATAACAACCATTTTTCACAAAATGCTCATGAAGTAATGGGTTAAACGAAAACATGAAGATTGTTTTCAAATTTCAACCATTTATTGATTGATTGGATTTTTTATTCATTATCTTAATACCATAAAAATGAGATCATCGCTACTTTGACAAGTCAATTCAATATATAACATAAATAAAGTAGACATGTAAAACAATTCATCGCCAATATTACATACATGTGTTACTGCTATGTAGCAATGCTACATTGCTATGTAACATAACTTGTTGCTTTACCTTAAGTTTTCAATATTGTATCGGATGCTGTGACGAAAATGATTAAAATATTTGCTATTTGCTTTAAATAATTTCTCGATTTCAGTGATTCTAAAGTACAAAAATTGAGATGGGGTCGACATGTCTTACACATTAGGGTTCGAAAAGGCATGATAAAAGGAGTCTAAGTGACAAGGGGTCTAGAAGTGATCTTAATATCGCGGGGGGGGGGGGAGTCTAAAGGGGTCTAAATGTCTTACTTGCTGTTTAAGTATGATATCATGAATACATGTTTACCATGAAAAAGTTTATATACGTATATGTACTCTATCAATAGAAGTCTGCTAAAAAGCTGTAAACCTTTAAACTGAAGAAATACAATAGATAGATTAGTGTTTATCATGTGGCCTTTAAATTAAATATAATACTTTTTTCATATGAAAACGATATTAGTGTCTCTAAAATCCATTAGTCCAATAACGTTGATAGATAACTAAATTTGATTTAGGCCCATTGATTTAGTTAAATTCATCGAGTTGTTTAAAGAATTTAACAACACGTGGTAATCTGTGAGAGCATACATAAAAAACGTTTTCCAATACGATTATGACCAATCTCTTTTAAAAATAAATCATGAATATTAATATTTAAACGTTCGTATGAATTAGCAAAATAAGATTTAATATTTTCGAACAACCCTAAAAAAATTTCATGACTAACTGCAAAACAACTCTAAAACAAATACTAGTCTTGAAGGTTTCTTATACCGTAAAAATGTACTTTAAATAGCTCTAATTTGAAAAAGGTTGAACAAGAATTGAAAACATGAATGTGTTAAAAATATTTAGTAGAACTTACTGTTGCCGGCCATGTCTAATCTCTTTTGTGTACCAACTTAAATCACATGTGATATGAACATAAAAGATAACTTTTACATATCAATGACTACTATAAAACCAGGTATACGGAAACCAAAAGGTTTCATATTCGTAAACATATAAAAAAAATAATAGAAATTTAACCAGTATCTAATGTAACAGTGTAACGACGTTTGTAGAACGTCATGATACTGAAAATTAGCATGCTAATATTAAATAAATTAAAGTGAAAGAATGTTTCCCATATACAAGGACACAAACCACTTCCGACATGATAGAATGCCAAAAATAAAATGAAAGAAAGCTCGAAGTAGTATGAACAAAATTTATGAGATATACATAAACATTCTTTTCAGAGATTTCCGAATAGACGTAGTGTTTGGTTGCATTGAAAAACTGCTTTGTTCCATAATGTTGTTCACAAGAAGTATAGGAAGTACATAATGGTTCGTCTGTCGGTATATTAATTCATAAAGAATAATAATAATAATTATAATAGAAAATTTAATGAAATTAAAGGGTATTTTTTTAAAGAAGATTAACCATATAGTACCCCGTAGTATTACATTATGATATCTTCTTTCGATAACCTTTCTCAAGTATTGGATCATATGACAATTATCAGCGTTCTAGATTTATTCCTTTAATCGGATAATTGAGTAGATGATGTTTCCAAAGGAAACATATGTAACTTTTCCCCCGATCATTATAATTTCTTTAAAAGAATTTAATGATGAAATTATACATCTCATCCTGTTTCTGGTAAGAAAGGATGACCGGCATTTCGATAAACCATAGTTAATACAAAAGGAAGTGATATTTATATATAATGAAAATATGTGTTTTCTTTATGACTATATATTGCCATTAAAGTAATTATATAATAAATCCTGTGCCAGTAAACATGAATACGGTATAGACTTTATATAAATGTTAATTAACACGAATTTGTGAGAAAAAAAAAACAACAACAACAACAACAAAAAAAAACAAACAAACAAAAAATACAAATGGAAAGCTAAAAACCAGGGAAAGAACTCCTTTACGTATTATGTATAAGGCAAATTCATAGGTCCTTGACCACTATAGATATAGTCGGGTGACCTCTTTTTCCTTTCCCTTGGAAGAATCGATACAACTAGCCACCTGTTTAATCAATGGTTAATTAAATCAACATACAACATCTTAGTTTTAAGTAAATTAATCCTTTTAAAACATTTACAAAACAATGTTGGTTAAAATGAACTAGAAACTAATGAAAAATGTTCTTGTGTTTTAACATTAAATCAAGTATTGAGACATGTAATAGTAACTGAGGTTAATTGGAGGCTTTTGTTTCCTATGTGGTCGCTCACTTGTGTTAATAGTATAAAGTTCATCATTAGAATTACTAGAGTTTATTTCATGCTCGTCAACTACGTCTGGTGAAAGGTCCATAGATAAATTATTTTTATTTAGTTCATTTGGTTGATTTGGCGGTTCATATGCTGGACGAGACAAGTGTCCGGAATGTTTATAACTTCTGACATCGCGTCTTCGTCTTCACTTATATGACCATTATTTCACTCACTTGATTTGGAAAACAATCACGAACTTAACTTGGACACTAAGTTTTATTTGTATGATGTAGCTCTTAAACGTAAAACGGAAATTTTCTTACACCATGAATTTTCAATAAATAAAATTAGATATCTGTCACGAGCTTGAGCTTACCTTTCTCAGAATCATGATAAACAATATCGCCAACTCAAAGTTCTTGACATGAAAAAAGCTTATGTCCTTTGAGTTTAGATTTTTCAATGTATGGGTAATTATGTAGGCGGTTTTCGTGCTGACTTAAATTGAGAGTTCTATCTGATAAAGTTAACTGTTCATTTGTAAACAGCTTCCGTTGAAACAAAGTTTGCGTGATGATAAGCCACAATAACGAGTAAGCGAATTCAGTCTGGCAATAACATTTATTAATCCTTCTTCGGAAATTGGATCGCCGGAGGGATCTTGGCGAAGTAGTTCATTTTCAAATTTTCCACAGCAACGTTCCTTATTACATTTTTTTTTCGCACAACCTAGTACAATTCCGAGTGTCTTCAGTTTTAAGTCTTCTCGCAAGGCTACAAATCCTGGAACTGAGTCACATCTAATGATAGCAATTGGACCTTCAAGTGGGTGTCATCCGAGAATAAATTTCAACAAAGCGACACAAAGTGTATTATGTTTTTCATTTTTAATTTCACAGGCGTGGTATATGAGTCACAGTTTCCCGAAGCACAAGTATCAATTGTTTATTCCGTTTAAAAACATCATTTGAAAAAATATTTGGATACTTCTGCAAAGAAGTAAAGGTATGACACAATTCACAGACGCTGTCAATAGCGTTAAAGTCTAAAGCACAAAATGCCAATTCATTACAAGTTGCATTTAATGCTAGATTGGATGATTTAACTTCAGATAAAGTACTGTCACAAATCAGTCAATGATTATGCGAGGTACAACTATGAGTTCATAATCGCCGTATGAACACATGTGCGGATGGTTCTAAATTTAAAATATAACCATTTCATGTTTAAATGTTGAATTCTGCTGAAGCCGTTGCTAGGGGCCGTGGACGGTAGTTTGCACTTTAAAGTACCGTCTATGAACAGGCTCAATCAAACCGAGCCTGCAACATTTTCAATTTTGTCGTTTTGGGCTTTCTTTATGGACTCATATTTTCTCTTTTTCATTGTAAGGTGTAAGCGCATCATTTTTCTGTACAACTAATAGATTATTCTTAGCAATAGAGACCATATTAAGATAACGTTTAACATCTTTAATATTAGTAAGTGTTTTGAGGATGAGTGCCTTGTTTAAGATGAGCATGAGTTCTGCGAAGATCAAGGCAGTCAGGTGAAGCATAAGAGACAGGTGTGACAGGAGAAGTAAGCTTTACTTGACAAAAGGGGCAGTGCTTATGAAGTTAATGTGGCCTGTTTGCAATCGTTTTGCTGTATCGCTTCTCAATGGCAATGGTGGCATCAGCATGAGCATTATTTAAAACATCTACTCTGATGTATTATCCGGGCCAAACTACTGCAGAATAAACGATAGGACATGACGGATGATATATGTTAGTGATTTCAGTTTTGGATTTAAAACTACTATTAATAGGTAATTTTCTGATAATCACCGATATTCATTTTATGTTTCGAAGACTTGACTGAGATGTTATTGTGTGCCATAAATGTAACACTGGATAAAACATCAACATCGAGATTACCAACTACAAGCGCATCAAGTTTGAAGTGATTTTTGACCTGTGAAAAGGTGATAAATAAGTATCACAAGTAATGTTAAGTAGAGTTGACCCATCTGAATGAAGTGCATTTTGACTGGTAAATTGAATAGTTGTTCCGATGTCCGCCTGGGCTCCTTGCCATTGGTTCTTATTGCTGGGTCATATGGGGGTTGCGTTCATTGAACGCCGCCTTTCCTTGTTGATCTTGTTTATCATATTTTTTAGCAACAGAACTCTTGATCATGCTAATTTCTGCACCAGTATCATGCGTGAAAATAAATGCGTAATGCTTATGAAAAACTTTAATCGTAGGGGAATTAGAAGTACTATTTCTACAACAGCGGTATAATGTGTCTGAGGGATGTCATGCTCATATTGATCATCGGTTTGATAATGATTCTCAATAAAATGGTGATCTTCATTGTCAGACGTCTCATTCTGGAATTCAAGAACTGTTTACCAGGTTAAATAATGTTGGTAGCGTGTCCTGTCAGCTTATTCACAGAATGGGCAGATCGGTTTGTTTTGAGCTTAACAGAAGTCTTGGTTTTGAATGAAGTTCTGAAAAACTTTGATTCATTTATTGAGTGAAATTAATCCAGTTAACGGTTTAACGACTAAGAGATTTCAAGTTTGATTGAAGCGAGAGTCTTTGACCGGAGGTCAGTTCCATAAAGCTGTTTGACAAGGGCTGGAAGACTTGGGATCATTTTACCCAAGATATGTGGGTGAATCAGGCAAAGCCATGGCCGAATGATGAACTTGGTGATCACTTTATTTTTAGATTTTCTTCGTCTGTGGGGACATCCCCACGATGTATAATATTTCCGCCTGCATTGAGGAGGTTGGATAAGGATGTTGATTTCTTGATTTTAGTAGTTCTTGAAATAACTGGGCAATAATTTGCAATTTGTCCCAGCATCAAATTCAACCGTCTGACTTTTGTTTGGCGGCACGGCGTTTTGGCTCTGGGACTGCTTTGCCAACGTCGGTCAGGCCACGATGAAGTGGATTATCAGATGTTTTCAGCCATGCAAACCCGTCAACCAGAAAGGAAGCAAAATCTGTGTCTAGAGACAGGATATATTTCAAGTTTTATTGCCACAACTCAAACAAAGTTATTTTTCGTTTTTATTCAATGTCCATTGTTCTGGAGTATAATGCGTAGCCATTTTGAATTTGATCGTGTTACTCGTCACGTCCCGACCGGTTTTGGCTTTATTTTTGTTACCAGTTCGTTAATATCAACAGTAATCCCAAATACTGGAAATCCTGCTTTCTGTCTATTTTATCGCCACATCAGCGTTGCTTATGTTGTGTGGAGGCTGTAAAAAGTCGCCCCGTACATTCAATCAGGGATGTTATATTTCCCATCCTTAAAGATCGTTCAGCACGACCGACATAGTTGTTGTATTTGTTGTACACATAAGGCCACATATTCTTTATTTTATTTTCTTTTATTTACATTCAAAATCTGCAAAAGACATTATTGTTATGTAGAAGTAAGTAATATATATTGAACATACTGAAAGCAAAATGTATCCTTTACATCAATGCGATTTAATATTAAAATTTTGTCAAGAGTCAAGAAATATAACATTTGTTTGAAATGAGATTGATATTTTGAAAGTAAATGATGCAAATTAAGTAAGTGGTATAAGATAACAATGAAGATAAGAACAAAGCTCATAAAGGCAAAGCGAAGTTCACAGAACTCGACACAACTCAGTCATACAAGCAGGACATCTGTATCAATC